GACAGACAGACAGACAGACAGACAGACAGACAGACAGACAGACAGACAGACAGACAGACAGATACTGTAGATAGATAGATAGATGATAGATAGATATAGATATAGATATAGATATAGATATTATTTTTGTTCCTCTCTTGCATGCTATATTCAACTAAGTTTTTACTCATGCAGGTAGTCAGCATATTTGAGATACTTTCTGGTTTTGTTCTCCATACTAATTTCCTACCAAATTTGAAATGCTTTCTTTACACATCCATATGTTTAAATTTCAGGTTCCCATTCTGTGCCCTATTCAGAAACCTGCAGCTCTATAGCTTTTTCTCAGGAATCTGTCCTTTTTACAGTACATATGTCCTACTATCCTTTCTCATTTCTCTTAACATTCTTTAGGTGTTTTTTTTTAACCTCCTCAAATATTTTTTTATTCTCTCTCTTTCTCACTCTCTCTCTTTCTTGCTATCTTTTTTTTCTTACGTAGTCCCAAATGTTTTTGATGGAATCAGATAGTTCCATACCCACCAGTGGATCTGTAGCCTTTAAACTTCCACTTTATATATTTGGCAGCAAACTTTCTCAAATAGGCACCTCCTGCATCTATCTTGCTATAACTTGTCAACTCATTAGTTCCCAAAGAACCGCTACACTGTTTGTTATGCATACTGTTATTTTCCCCAGAGAAAAGCCCAATGAACCTAGTCACAAATCCATAATAAAACTCTAGTAGGAAGATAAATTTTGAAATACCAATATTACTATAATAAGGTCTCACGCTTGTATTCCGTGAAACATTATTTACCTTTGTATCCTTCAGATGTTGTAGGAACTAAATATAAATGGTTCCCTTCAGGAAAGATAGAGTTATCTGAAAAATGAGCTTGCCTAACTTTTGAAGCCAAGGCCTCAGCCGCTTTCTTTTTAATTTATCAACTTTTTAATTTACATTCCAAATGTCACTTCCTCCAAAAAACTCATTTCTAATTTAGCACCAGTTCTTTGAGAGATGGAATATAAAAAGAGTACATAGGCTAAATAAATTCTGAAGTTTTTATGAAATGAGAACTTAAACTGTCAACTTACATTATTTCAGCATTTTCAGACAGGTTGAATCGGTGTCTTCTAGCTGGTATTATGTCCTCATCTGTCTTGTTAGAATGACTACAGTATTACTTCAAATATAAATCACATGCTACCTGCTGCTTCTTTCCGTTTGGAAAAAAAAAACAGTGTCAAGTTGAAATATTACCAGTGAATATAACAAACATTATTTATACAAATAAAGATATGTAGTCTTTTAGAACTAGCAAATGGGTGGCGGTTGCCTGAGATGGACAGCGGTGGTTTTCCTGATAACTTGAATGTTGTGAGTCCTACAGCATCTTATTAAGGTTGTTTGATTGTGTGTGTCATCAAACCACAGATTTGTCATTCAACATGTAGTCTGTGTATTAGATCAATAGCAATAGCAATAGCAGTTAGACTTATATACCGCTTCATAAGGCTTTCAGCCCTCTCTAAGCGGTTTACAGAGTCAGCGTATTGCCCCCAACAACAATCCGGGTCCTCATTTTACCCACCTCGGAAGGATGGAAGG